ATATATGTTATATATATTACACATGCGGCTTTTAGAGAAAGGGACAGTAGCTCACCCAGCCACTCCACAGGCTGACCTGAAGAGATGGTGTATGTGGAGTGTCTGGGGGCTACAGGAATATGCTCTGGATAAGCACCAGGATACGACAAGAAGCACTTCCTTCTCCTACCTAGCATCGTACACAGTGCTCTTTACTTGAAAAACGAGAATAAAGGGCTGGGAATTTAGCTCAGTGGATTTAGCTCGCCTACCTTGCAAGTGCAAGGCCCTGTGTTTGGTCCCTGGTACCAAAAATGATTAATATGTATGAAATATTACACAAATTATAGTGTTAATTGTTCAGTGAAAAACTGGGGGCACCCAAAGAAACCTAGTTTTAAGACTAACTCAATTCAGGATGACAAGAATTCTATAGCTTCCCTGTGTGGTGCTCAGGGCACACACTGCATGGGCAGCTGTTCTGTCAGGGCCCTGCAGATGTGCTTGCTGGGACAAAGCGGCTGCTTATACCTAAGAAGCTGGGGCTCTCGAGCACCAGGATCAAAAGGTTTCTGGCTGCCAATGCATACTAAGTGTAAGGTGGGATAAATGGAGAAGAGTGAAGAACTGTAATCTCAGTGGTGCAGGGCTTTAGGTCCATCTAGTTCTGGTTGGTTTAAAGAAGAAAGTCTGTAACTGCATGGTATGCAAGAAGCTAGCTTCTTCTTAAGGGTCAAATTTTTAAAATTATTACTTCACTCTCTGCCCTTGTCCCCAATAGCTAGAGCTCCAGGATAGCTCTGCAGTATACGAGCTTTTACCTTGTATGATCAAGATGGCTTAACCCGTAGGTACATCTAAGGAGACAATGCAGATTTTCTTGGGCTATCAGGATACTTTTCTCAAGGCTGATTTGAAAGACAATGTCCAGATTTTAGCAGAACTACAGAAGAATTACTTTATAGCTATAAAAGCGATAATTTTATTTAGAGCTACATGGTGGGCATTTGGTACATTGACTTATTCTCTATTCATGAGCTCATGACTAGCTTTCTTTAGTCTCTGGGGTAATAAATTTTCTCTAAAAAAGAGTTTTATGAAATGAAAGACTCTCTAATTACTGCATACAAAGAAGATTTTCATCATTATTTCTAAAGATATGCAGAAACATGTGCCAAGTCTTGTAGGAACTGAGAAACTAACAAATTTGCCTTGCTTATTATAGCTCATGCATAATTAAAGGCTGAATATTCAGATGTCTGATTAGCCTTTTGTTTTCTCACATGTGGACTGAGAAGAACATCAGCTGACCCTTAGCACTGCAGAATTAAAAAGCTAAAGGTTAGGATCCGTGGGGTTTTCTGGAGGTCACATAAAACACTGCAGAGGATAGAGGCTGACAGGCAGAATGATGACCTGTAAATTACCTTGTGCACACAGTCTGTGACCTGCAACCACTTTGCTCTCTAGGGGCAGCAGTTCTTGGCAAATCAGAGCAAGGGCCCACGGGACCTCTGGGGTCATATCCAGGTTGGCCACTCATGAGCTTTGTGACCTCATGTAAGTCACTAAACCACTCAGCTTTCTCAAGAAATAAGGGCAAGGATGTCTATCTCAGAGAATTATCAGGAATAAATGGGTTACTAGCTGTGATTCTCAGCTGGGAACACCGTAAAGCTCAATGAATGGTTAACACTCATTAACGTAGCTGTCATTCTTTCTTCTTACTCTTTGTCCTCACTCATCGGTGTGCTCTAAGTGAAATAAGAAGCTGTATGGTAGGGTGGGGGAGACCAGGAGACACTGGGACTCTGCCACAACTGAGGTCTGAGATGGACCAGAGAAGGACAGAGCACACTTTCAGTCTAAATCATAATGTTAAGGTCATTTCAAAGAAAGTTTGTGTGTCTAATATAAAGAGTAATAAAACAATACTTCATGTGAACAGTAGTATATTCCATGAAACACTGAGTGTAAGCTTAAACTAAGACTTGCTCTAGAAGTGATCACTCAGGTCAAAACAGATGACTTTCTTCCACTGCATTTAACATAAAATTATCAGCAAAACAAGTGAACATGAGCCAGTCGTTCATTATGTGGTTTACCTCTTTAACGCATCTCCTCAGTGTGGACGAGGGAGCAACTACACTTGGAACAAGCTGAGCCCACACACAGATTACTGCCCAGGCCAGTATCTGCCTGAGGTTGGGCCACAGATAGGACGACAGTCACCTGTATGTCACAGGACACTGGCAAAGGCAGCGGATTCCAACTCAGAGAAAAGCACTTGCCCTTTTCTAGCCCCAGAAAGCTCAGGAGGGGCAAGTAGCATTTTCACATTTCAATACTGTATGGCAGAGCTCAGTTTGTCCCTCACAGGAAGGGTGCACATTCACCCGTCTAAAAGGGATCTTAGGGCTGCTCTTTCAGTAGCCTTGGCCACATGTGGTTATTTAAGTTAATTTAAAAGTATCAGTTCCTCATTTCCACAGATGCATTTCAAGGGCTTAATAGGCACCTGAGTCTAGTGAGCCCCACCATCTAGACAATACAGCAGCAGAACTCCTCATCCTCAGAAAACATCTGAATATGAATTGAAACCATGATTAAAAGAATGGCATGTGGTCATCCTGCTCTTAGGAAAGACATTTCACAAGGCTTGAAATATAATGAGTATTTAAGAAACTAATCCCTTTTCTGAGCTACACAGCATTGGCTGATCTATAGTATCAGAAGGCATCCAGTGCAACGGGGAAGGATGCTGACACACGGAGTTTTTTATGGGAGCTGCTCAACAGAGCATTCTGCATCAAGGCTAATGTCTTGTCACTTGCTCCATCCAGTACAGAGGCCACTACCCACAGGCTGCTACTGAGCAACTAAAACACGACAGGAACTTTGCATTTTATTAATTAAAATAGCTGTGGCTGGTGCCTATCAAATCAGGCAGCATGGCTTTTAACAGGAAAATTGCATAGTTCAAAGGGGCTCGCTGAGGACTGCAGAAAGCACAGAGCGGTATTAGAGTAAAACAAAACAGGCTGATGGCCTCGCAAAGAAAAAGCACCCTACCTCTTTGTTTGTGGAGGCTTCCGCGGGGTCACCGGGATGAAGGGGTGTACTTGACGACTCTGCGCCCAAAGGTGAGGAACTGCCAGGAGATGGAGACTAGAACACAGAAAGAGGAAAGGCATCAGTGAGAACCTGAGTGACATTTCTTGGAGCCCAGGCGAAGGAGATGGGTGGAGAGGGGCAAACCGGAACACAAAGAGAGACTTCAGTTGGGAGAACCCCTTTGGAAACAGACTGTTAACTGTACAGAACAAGCTAGAGGCATTTAAACTTTCTTTTCAATTCTTGCTATTTCTTCAAAGAAGTTTTATTGCTCTGCTCCCCCACTAAATGTTGAAAAAAGCTATAGAAAAACTTGACTATTAAACTTGTAGTCCTAAATAAATACAGCAAAAGATACTACACAAATATTTTTTTAAAAATTAAAGATACATATACTTTGACTACCAAATGTCGTATAAAATTGCCCACCCAGCCAGATGTGTCGGTGCACACCTGTAGTCCCAGCACTCTGGAGGATAAGGCAGAAAGATCAGGAGTTTAAGGCCAGCCTTAAGTACACAGTGAGACCGTATTTTAAAAACAAACAAAAAACAATAAAGAACCCCAACACAGAAAACAAAACAAAAAAATCTGCCTAAAATGAATGGAAAAATAAAAAATAAGACACATATTTTCAAAGAGCCAAGTGAGGCTAATTTTGGTGATTAGAAACCATATACCCTGTAATCTAAAGCCCAATGAAAATTCAGAGATGTTTTGGCATCTAAACTGTATTATCTTGGATACTCTTAAATGATTAAGAAATCCTCTGTCAAATGCTGTTTGGCTTTGAAAACTAGGTTTGGGGAGCACAGGGCCTGTCGGGTGCCTCAGTGGATGGGCCCAGCCCTGCCGGAGATGGAATGTGAAAACCCTGTTCAGGGCACAAAGCACAGCAGGCGCTCCATGAATGTCTGCCCAGTGAGTTGCCAAACAAAGCAAGCAAGCAAGCAAACACTGGGACGGACACAGGCGGGCTCTGGGAACACTCCCTGGACCGTATGGTGACATTTCAGTGTGTGCCTCAGATCTAGAGACAGGGTGGCCCCTCCCCGGCGAGCCCCAGAAGTGCTCCGCAGTTCTGCAGCAATGGTCCTCTGAGGGCCAGAACGCAGCGCTTCACAGCTGCGGTGACGACGACAGTGGGCACAAAGCACAGAAAGAAACGACTCAGGATGTATCCTCTCAGGAAGAGCAGGGATGTGAGGGGGCAGGAAGGGGAGTTCCCAGCAGGAGAAGGAAACCACCACCAGTGTTTACTCAAGTCTGCATCTACCTCTTGAGACTGGAGGCAGAGGTACGGACAGCAGTAAAATACCCGCGTACGGAAAGGGAGAACGATTCACAAAGCAATGGGGCTGGGGGTCAGGGAACACAGTTAAAGATGAAGAGACCCCAGTGAGCATTATGTGAAATGTTAATCTTTTACAGGAAGTACAGGGGATACCAAGCGAACCACAAGCTGATATAGTGACATGTGCAAGTCGTATGATGCCGTCCCATCGCTGTGAGGCTTGGACCTGCTTCCCGTGGGCCCACATCTCCCCCCGTGGAGGCAGTGAGCCGAGGACCCATGTACTCCTGGAATATCCGCATGCAGGAGCCAGGAGCCAGCCGCTCTGCAGTAGAGTCTAGAGGGCAGGCAGAGAATGACGGCAGATATAAAGCACCCCACAGCCCCTGGCCACAATAAAGCAGCCCTGCATGCCTGTAAACAGAACTCAGAATGTCTTCACTCAGTACCAAGAGATTTGCTGGGTACTTGCTGATTTTGCACTTTTTGACCTACTCAAAATTAATAATGGAAAGTATAAGAATTTAATGTTTTTGAATTTCCTTAATTTTTCAGTTTTGAAGCGCCTACTTTGATATTTATGGCTTGATTTTTCCCAAGTAATTTTCTCTGTCACAAAGATTTTAAAGGTTCAGCCCCTGAGCAAGCTAGTGCAGTTAGTTTTTCTTTAACTCCTTGGTTTCTGGACCATGTATATCCTTATTTAAAAAAATCCTGAGCATCCCATTATTTCCCATTTTTTATTTACTCCCCCAGTGTTCTAAAAATAGATTCCTTACAACCTTGCTGGTACCAGATTGTCCCAAGATGATGCGAGCAGACAGGTTATCGGGAAGGTGGACAGGGCTGTGCAAGAGCCCTCAGTAGAGCTAAGTGTTCAGTACTGAGTGCCCGCTAGGGAATCCAGGGGAAGAAGAGTAAAGTCTGGGGCAGGGCTGGGGTGTCCCTCATAAGAGCTCTCATGGACCCTTCCAACCTTATCAGGACCACCTCCCCTCAGATATCAGATGCTATAGGCTTCTGCCCAAGTACAAGCTCATGTGAATTTTCTTCATATGCACACGCATCGAATGACCTCCATCTACAGAGTTCCTCTTATTCTCTCGTGCATCTAAGGTCTGCTTAACAAGCACTCTCCTCCCTGATGCTTTCCCAAGCTCTACTCATAGTACATTTCTCCCCCAATGGCATGTCCTGTGTTCTGTAACATTTGTGTATGTTTCTCCTCTATCAAGAGCTCTTGGGTGGCAGGGCTCTTGTCTCCTGCATCCTCATCACCAAATGCCTCAGCCTGGGTCATGTAAATAGCAGGTACCAACAAAGGTAGGCACCGACTCAACGACTCTAATGTGCTTTCTAGCTTTATACTGTTTTCACTTTGCACGTGAAGCAGATGTTACAGACCTGCCCACTATTTTCCTAGATTAATTTTAGCAGCCAATGGCAAATCCTTTTTTAAATAAAGAGTCCCTCTGTTACTATGTGTAGAACATTCAGTCTGCACTTTGAACTACAGGAATGATCCTTGCCTATGAAGATTAACCCAGGATCCAGTGAAGTTCTTTTGAAAGACAGCTGTCCTTAAAAAATAAAAAAGAGGACCCCCATCATGCAAAAGCCTACAAATCACCACATGCCACTGTAGGCCAAGTTAAGGGTGGGCAAGCACATTCAAAGAGACCCAATCCACTGGTGCTGAAAGGATTCAGATATCTGCTTCAAAGGCCCTTTGCAGGTACCTCCAGCTTTTGCCCCAACATACACTCTTCAAAGTGGAAGGGGGAAAAAAGCTATTTACTTTCAAAGATGTATTTAGCCAATGACATGGGAGAGAAAAAGTTAAGATTATCACTAACTTTCTGTCTGGAGTTTTGGGCCCTCTGGGTTGCTGGATGGATATTTAATCTTAAGAAAACAAGATTAAAGGTGAGAGGCAAATGTGATGTGCGAATTCATGAAGGTGAGTACTGCGAAGTCTCCTTTGTGTTCTGTAACCTCAAGCCCATGTCTACTGGTGCCACAGACCCTAGCAACACCTGGCAAGGTCCTGTCCCATCCTGAGGCTCCATAACAGTGGCTGCTGATACCACAGGCCCAGCATCTCCCAAATCCACCCTGAAGGACAGAGGGACCCTTCAGCTTGTGGCTTAGGAAGTGAGGCTCCTGGTGCCACAACGCTCAACATCACCTATGCTTTCCCTGAGAGATCTCAGCATAGCCATTCCACACTCTGCACCACTGAGATTGTGACAGCTCTCGTGCCAACAGGGCTTGACTCTGCAAAACCTCAAAGAACATCCCCGAAGCCCACGTCCACTGCCAAGTGACGTCACATCTGTGAATTGCTGCCATCCAACAATGAAAGCTGCTGACATCAACACAGACCAACAGATCAGTGACTATGCTTCTGAGCTCCCCCATAAACAAACCCAAATCATCTGTCCAGCTGAAATCCTATGTCCTATAAAAATGGAAAAAAGAATTCTCCTACAAAAACAATTTCATAAAGTTAGAAGAATAACATATGCAAAGTGCAGACATTAATGGAGGGATAGAAGAAACATAAAAAGGAAACATAATACTTCTAAATCAGACAGTAATTCTCCAGAACAGATTTCAATTTGAAGGAAGCCTATGAAATACCTGGAAAAAAATGTATTGTTTGTTTGTTTTTTGGTATCGGGGATTGAACTTGGAACCTTGTACTTGTGAGGCAGGCGGCAGAACCACTGAGCTAGATCCCTGGCCCTGAAAAAGAAAATTAAATAATCATCCTAAGGAAACTCAGATTCAAGAGAAAACCGATAAGTAATTCAATAATGAGAAAAACAACTCAGGATATTAATGGGAATTCACCAAAGAGACTGAAATTATAAAAGAGAACCAATCAGAAATATTGGAAATAAAAACTTCAATCAGTATAAAAAATAGTACAATAGTTTCTACAATGGACTAGAACAAAGGAAGAAAGAGTTTCAGAACTTGAGGATAGCTCTCTTGAATTAATTTAGGAAGACCAAGAAGAAGAAAGGGGAAGAAGATGGGGAGGAAGAGAGCAAGGAGGCAAAGACAAAGATGAAGAAAAAAGGAAAAGAGAAAATACAAGAGGCACTATAATACCCAACTTCAAAACATACTACAAAGTTACAGTAACCAAAATAGCACAGTACTAGCATAAAAAGACACATAAAGCAATGGAACAGAATAGGACCATGTTCACATAACCGACTGATTTTTGACAAAGGCATAAAAAACATACAGTAGAGAAAAGGCATCACAGTAAATGTTGCTGGCAAAACTGGATTTGAATTTGAAATTAGAGCTGGGATTTAGCTCAGTGGTGGCACCACCCGCCTCAGAAGCGGAAGGTCCCAAGTTAAATCCCCCATAACAACGATGACAAAAAAAAAGAATGAAATTAGATCTCTTCCTCTTGCCATATATAAAAGTTAACTGTATATGGATTAAGACCTAAACTGTAAACTGAAACCATTAAATTACTACAAGAAAACAGGGGGAACACCTTAACACATTAGTGTGGGGGATAATTTTTAGAAGGAATCCCAAATATATAGGCAACGAAAGTAGAAACAGACAAACGGGACTATAGCAAACTAAGAAACTTCTACATAGTTAAGGAAATGATTTGAATTTAAGAGACAACCTTAGGAGAAATTATCTGCAAACTACTCATCTGAGCAGGCATTTACAACTAGAATATACAAGAAACTACAAAACAGCACCAAAAGATAAAAAATAT